TTGAATATCCACAAACTTTTTAAATCACAAAAAGTCATTAAAAGTTTCAATTAAATATAACCCATAAAGTGGCATATATCAAGTTTACCATCATCAATCAACCATGCAAATAAGCACTTTAATCAACAACAAATGACTAAAGTCCACACGTAGATGAGGGAGAGAACAACGATTTGTTCTTTAGGGTTTTGGTGCTTTATTTTATTTTATATATATATATATATTTTTTTTTTCTTTTTTTTTTTGTTCGAGTTGACTTTGGGTACTTTTGGGCTTTATAGGGCAACCCAAAAATCGACCTAACTCAACATTTTTTTTTTATTGAAAAGAAATGGACCCTAATCGAACAACTAGAAAAATCGATCAAAATTAGTTGGTGCTTATATGTTCATTGGTTTGTTCAATTTCACTATTTAAATGCCAACCCGACATGTGATGGGTAAACAAACATAGTTATTGTTTTCGCTATTTTTGTAAATAAAGATGTATTTAACTATAGTTCGATTAAAAGATTAGGCTTTTTGAAAATACCTACGACCAGTTACTGTATAATTGAGTACAAGAACAATTTCTTAAGATATTCTAACCAAGTTAGCTATCGTATCTTGTTTCAACATCAAACGAATGCATTCTTTCAATCCTGATCTTTTGCACACTTGGTAGAACACCTGTAAATCACGCTATAAATACAAATGATCCTTGCAAGACAATGACGTCCCTATCTCAGAAATCACCTCATTGCTTTCATTAATCATTTGTGCATCTTACAAATTAAGTGAAAAAAATACATCAAAGTAAAAGGAGTAAATACAATACCTTAAATAACGGGAGCCATTTTTCATTTCTCTGATACTTTATCGTAAAATTCCTCATTAAGTCATGAAATTAATGTTTTCCCCTCATTTACCTTTCTAATAAATAATTTACAAGTGTATACATTTTATTGTAATTTAATTCAGTCAATTAGCTTTGGCGTATAATTCTCCGGATCCGGTCGGCCCCGGTCCTGAGTTATTAAGCCTTAAAATTAACAACTCAATTAAAAAAAAAGAGGCTAACGTGTCAAAATGACAAGGGAGTAGGACGGCCGACACTGTGCAACCCTCGTAATAAATCTCATATAATCGACTAACAGTGGAAAATACGAAAAAATTATGCACTAATATCTCTCTCTCTTCTCTTTCTCTCTCGCTCTAAAACTGCCTCGTCCCTGCCTTCTCAAGTATTTTGCCCAATCCCCCCTGGCTGGCTCTCACTTATACGATTTACTCTTAAGCTTTGTATCTCAATTACCCGCCAAAAAGGTTTATTTTTAAGATTTTTTAATGATTATAAAGTTTAATTTTCCCCCAAAATTCCCCTCTTCTTCTCCCTCTCTCTAGGGTTTTCCTTCTTTCTCTCTTCCCCTTCTTATGGCTTCACTCGTCTCTCTTCTCTGCAGGTCTGTACGCCAATCGCGAAGGATTTCGTTTCGAATCTACCGAGACGGTGCTTTCCATGGAGGTGTAGAGGTAATTGTGAAGTAGGATTTTGTGTTAGATGGAATCGACGGTGGAGATTGAATCTGGAGTAGGATTGGAGGGCGTGGGCGAAAAAAGACCGGCTAAACAGGATGAGGAAGTGTTGAAAGA